TTAACTAAACATTCGTTTATAAAAAATAGATAAAAAGAAAATTAAAATTAAACAATTATGAACAGATAACTAAAAGTGAATAAGTAACATGAGATTAGAATAGATAAGTTCGCACACCGAGTGTATGTAAGTAATGTATGAATGTACCTCGTGTGTTCATAAGTTTTGAGACAAACTTTTTGCTTATAAAAATAAAATAAAAATTACTGGCTGCTGTATATTTCTTTTTCTAATTTTGAATTTGGAATGTTAACTTTTAATATCTATGATTTCGGATTATTTTATTTAAATTTTCTCGTAATGGAGGGAACAAAATAATTACGTGCGACCGTCATTTCATTATTTAAGGTGGGAAGAAAACCTATGGACATTTTCCGAGAGCTGAAAAGTTTTGGTGTGAGCCGTAACTTCGTGTATTACACTATTAAACGATACCAGGAGACAAGTTCTTTACATGATCGGTAAAGAAGTGGTCGTCCACGCTCTGTGAGGACGCCTGCGAACATTAAAATCATCCGAGAGCGACTTCGCCGAAATCCATGTCGCACTCAGAAGAAACTCGCTCTGCAGACCAATATTTCGCGCGTTTCAGTCAACAGAATACTGAAATATGATCTCAAGGTTAAGGCGTATAGCCGTAGAAAAGTACACTTTTTAAACGATCGCCTTCGTCAATTGCGACGCGAACGTTGTCCAATACTGCTTAGGAGACACGATGCGAGGAAGATACTCTTCACCGACGAGAAAATCTTTACCGTCGAAGAAAAGTTCAATCGACAAAACAATAAAGTGTATGCCAAAAGTAGCAAGGATGTCCCACCTTCAGCACGGAATGTCTCGCGTACTCATCATCCGGCTAGTGTCATGGTATGGTGGGGAGTTTCGTACGAGGGTGTCACTCAGCTTCATTTCTGCTAACAAGGCGTCAAGGTGAAAGCCAAAAATTATCAAAGTGACATTCTAGAGACTGTTGTGAAACCCCTGTCTAATACCCTATTCCATAACAAGTATTGGGTTTTCCAGCAAGACTCGGCGCCATCCCATAAGGCTAAAACCACCCAAGCTTGGCTGAAGGAAAATGTGCCGGCCTTCATTGCGGCGAACGAATGGCCCTCCTCCAGCCCCGACCTCAACCCGCTGGATTATTCTCTATGGACCGAATTAGAGCTCAGAGCCTGCTGAAAGTCCCACCCAAACTTGGAGTCACTTAAGCGAGCTCTTGTCCGAGAAGCGAAGCGAATTCCTCTGGAAAAGATTCGTGCCGCCATTGATTACTGGCCAAATCGTCTAAGGGAGTGTGTTAAAAACAGGGGTGGTCATTTTGAATAATAATTATATTTAATTTTTACTTACTATCTACTTAATGTTTGTTATTGTTTTTATAAATATAAGTTTATTATTTAAAAAGATATGCAACTTTTAATTTGTCTCAAAACTTATGAACACACGAGGTATAATCTGTGTATTTGTATTGTGCTCGTGTATCTGTGAATTAGTTGTATACTTGCATGGAGTATCTATCAAAAATCTAGATCGATCCAAATCGTACACTCGGGAATATAATATTACCTTGACTGCAACTTATCTAAGATTTCGTTTCAATATCGTGTTTGGATGTAATAATTGAGCTCAAGCGCATAACACATACGGTAATATGATTCACATAGGTATTCTGTGCTAGTATAGAATTAGGCTACAATTTTTTATGATGTAATGAACAGTGTCAGTCACGCGAACGGTTTTTGTAAGGTCAATGTACGTGTTGAATCCTTATCCTTACTAATTTTATAAATCGGAAAGTGAGTTTGTTTGTTTGTTTGTTCCGATTTCACGCCGTAACTACTAAACCGATTGCTTTGAATTTTTGCAGTCAAGTTAAATAATAGGGTACTTTTTATCCCGGAAAAATTGATATTCCCGAGGGAAAACAAAAGTATTGGTATAGATGGCGCTGTGTGTATTGGTATATGTCACATAGGCTACTTTTTATCCTTTTGTGATGCAAGCGAAGCCGCGGGTAAAAGCTAGTGTAATATATTTTGTGAGTGATGTAAAAAAATATGAATTAAGTTGGTTCGACAATCCACTGGTGATGACCTCATAAAATCCTCTTCATTATCATATATCAGTCACAAGGGGACCACTGATCAACATAAGTCCCCCCAATGACTTCCAGATGGCTCAGTTACAAGCTTAAGAAATACCCGTTTAGTACTTACCTACTAGGTATGTTCCTCTGTTAGCGTCCATGTTACGGAACGCACTTTAAAATTTTCCAAAAGTAAGAGAACTATCACCATGTAAGTAGTATTTAGTACACATCTGTTTGACCCTTTCACGTTTTTAAGTATCTTACATATATGGAAACCCGTAAAATGGGACGATTTTAAGTGTGGGAGACCCTTGCTTCGGCATGGGTCTTGAATGGGCCGGCTCGACCGGAGCGAACCACGGCCTCGGAAAAAACCGACGTGAAACAATGCTTGCATTGTGTTTCGACGTGTGTATGAGGTTACCGGAGGCCCAATTAACTAATCCTTAGTGTCCCTAATCCCCGAATCCTCCACAATCCTCAAATTCCCAATTTCCAAAAGGCTGGTAACGCACTTGTAACGCCTTGGTGTTTCAGGTGTCCAACGAACCAGTGGGTGGACACGAATAGGTGAACTTACCCTATGTATCACACTAATATCTAATATTATAAATGTGAAAGTTTCTTTGTTTAGATACAGGCAGGATATGGGCTGACTTAGGTAATAGGATATTTTTATCCCGATTAAATACTCCCATGGGATAAAACAGGGATACGCGGGCAAAGCCGCGGGTAAAAGCCAGTTTTACATAACCAGCAAAACTATTAAATTTGATAACTAATCGAGGAAAATCACACTGACACTACATTTTAGTGTTTTCGGAAATATAAAGCTGGTGATAAACATGAATTAGGTAATGTCAACTGAAAATAGAATTTAAGAATTTGTAATAAAAACAAATTACAGTTACCTACTGAAACATTATTGAGTGAACCTTTCGATTCTCAAGTCATTGACTTCTGAACAAAAATTATAAATGTACTCTCTAGATTCTCACAAAGAAATTGAACAAGGCAATCTATTGGTACGTGAGGAGACTCATAGTCTAGCATTGGACTGTTTTTTTATAACGTTGTCCTACACTAGGATTTTCGCCTGTATCGTGAGTGCTTTTACGAACATAGAATTCACATAACACTGAGAACCGAAACAACAATTTGTAGATCTCACAAAGAGTTGCTTCATGCGGGAATTGAACCCGCTACACGTTGCATGACGACAGGGTATGAAAAATAAAAATCTATTTGGTCCGTTAGTTAGGTAATGAAAAATTATTAGACACGTATGTTTTTATTTTGTCGTATAATAAAACAATACTTAGATAAAACGAATCAAAATTCAGGACAAAACGAATCAAAATTCAGGACTGGGAACTAGCTAGCTACGTTATTTCTACGTCTATAAAACGTACCTACTTAGAATTGACGTCACACGATATTTCAATCAATATCGTCGAAAGTATTTGTTTCCGTAAGAAAATAAAAAAATACAAAATAATATAATAAAAAAATATAAGAATATTAATATAAGAAAACAATTTATTTCAATTAGACCAGAACGTGAATAAGTGAAGCTATTTGCTCATTCTAAGGTGTTTTTTTTTAATGGGGGAAAATCATCGAATGACTGCTCCCGCCTGGGTGAGGCGGTAGGGAGTGTCAGTCTCTTACTGACTAAAAACCACCCCGTTCCTTCTCCTGCACGTCGAGCCGGAGCCCCGGTTGCCCGTCAGGTTCTCCGCGACTCATTCTAAGGTGTAGATTCCTGCAATGAAGAACGATCAAGAAACTCCATAGCATACTGCTTTTCAATCTGGTTCATATCTGTTATGTGAATTGTCATTGTTGTCTGAAGTCGCAAAAATTATTAAAAATACACTAACTATATAAACATACATTGCGTGATACTATATGACCGCATATCGACCTGACCCTTAGATAAAGTTCAAACTACAAACATTATCTCAGCCTTTGTTAACACAGCTCTTTTTGCGCGGCAAATAGATTAATGAGATCAAATAGTAGAAAATAAGAGTTATTTTCTGTTATATGTAGAGGGCGTTTTAGTGAAAGTAGATTTGGGAGCAAAGAAAGGCAGCCACAATCGTTATTTTTTTTTATTTTGTCGGACAGACTATTACTTTTTAAAAAAAAATCCTTTTACAACAAAATGCTCTCAATATAAACTAAATGGTAAGCAATCGGTGCCGCCCATGGACACCTGAAACACCAGAGGCTTTACAAGTGCGTTACCGGCCTTTGAGGATTGTGGGGGATTCGGGAATTGGGGAGAATGGGGATGGGGGTAATTGGGCCTCCGGTAACCTCACTCATACGACGTGAAACAACGCAAGCGTTGTTTCACGTCGGTTTTCTATGAGGCTGTGGTCTAGCCGGCCCATTCGTGCCGAACCATGGCTCTCCCACACTTAAAACTGTCCGTCTATTTATCAAGTACGACTGTTTTTTTTTAAATATGAGTATGTATCTATTTGATTTTTATACTGTGATGAATTGCGTCGTAACTTTGAAAGTCTTTCTTTTGATCTACAAAATCTTTTGCAACAACATTATATCTGCGCTGCATTCATTTCGTTTCAAGTTTAACGTAATTTGTATAGCAGTTTATGCAGAAAAGCGTTAATATTTTTATTATTTATGTACAACACATATATAAGATTGAAGTACAAAGCTACCACCTATTTCTATTGAAATTTCTTCCTGCGAACCTGTGGCAGGAAAAGTAATAATGATATATTTTACTTATTGTTTTACAAAAATGTCTATATTTTATGTAGATACTAGCTTACCAACTTTACAGAAGTTGTAAATAATTTTGTGTAGTCTTTAATCTCTCATTTCATTCAAAAAAAGTCTTTACTAATGAGAAATATCTTTGTTTCTGTAGGTTCGACAGCAATGCGGGCAAGTCCAGAATTGACTACTATGGAGGTATGGTCAAGACGTACCAGCTATCGGCGGGTGTGTTCAAACCATACGGTACATCTATCAAGGTGGGTGCAACATAGTGTAGAAAATATTGTAGAAAGGAATGTTCTATTTATTTAATGAGGTTAAGCAAGTACTAACGAGTGAGAACTATAACTTTTTGCTTAAGGCTTGTTGCTATTGTATCTAGGTTTAGGTCGCGCTTAATTGCCAGTCACTGTTACTGTTATCACACTAGCATCATATTTGTGAAAATTTCTTTAAAAACTGCTGAACAGATTTTGATAAAATTTGTAATACAGGCAGGGTATGGACTGATTCAGGTGATAGGATCCTTTTTCCGGATTAAACGCTTCCATGGGATAAAACAGGAATCATATTCTACGCGGGCGAATTAGCGGGCAAGAGCTAGTAAATTATAGTTCAGCGGTTATTAGCCAGAATAGAAAAGGCTTGCATACTGTCAGCATTTCTCTGTGGTTGACTGGGAAATAATACTCATATCATTAATGTTTTAAAATAATACATATAAAAGGAGTGCCCAGTAGTCGCAAGTGAGACTGCCGGGCAAGGGGTCTCGGGTTCGATTCCCGGTTCGGTCAAAGTACTACTCGGTTTCTAGAAATGTGCCCGGTATATGGCAATAGGCTCACCCCCTATTACGTGGGACTCATAACATAAATAGTGAAAAGTGGGTTACATTGTACAGTGGTATAATGTGCACCTCTGCACCCCTTCGGGGATAAAAGGCGTGACGTTATGTATAAAAGGATTCGTAGTAGTTCGAGGAAAGATTTTATGTATAAAGTTGACACTGAACAAAGTCTTTTAAGTCAATTGGTAGTGTCTTAATTGAATATTATGCCAAGTTTCCCTATCTTGAACAGATCGCTCCAGTCACGACGGAGGAAGTCCTCAACCAGGACACATGTCTGCAAGTCAACGGCAGCAGTGACAACAGCATCGCTATCCAAACTGTGCTGCCTGATATGACGGACTTCAAGTATATTGGTATGTTTAATTGAAAATATATTTTTAATGGATTTAAGGGTGGAAATATATAGTAAAATACGTTTCTATAATTCAGCTGCGTACAGCACAATTCCGCCCTCTTTCTCAATATATTTACTGACAGTTCTGACTTTTTTTTGGTATTTTTTTTAAATAAAACGTTGCCCTACATTAGGATTTTCTCCTGTGTCGTGGGTGCGGTGACAAACATACAAGTTCACATACACATGACACCCAGACCCGAAACAACAATTTGTAAATTACACAAAGTGTTGTTCCGATCGAGAATTAAAACCCGCGACACGTTGCACGGCAGTCGGTTACCCAGCCACCGCACCAACCGTGCAGTCAATATAAGCTAGTATATGCCGAATTAGCAAACGAATAGACGGATCACTTAATAGTAAGCAGTAGACGCCGCCCATGGACATACGCACACCAGGGCGTTCCAAGCGCATTGCCGGTCTTTTGGGGGTCAGGATTTTGTGGATTGTTAAGGTTTGGGTAATGGGAGGGCGGGTTGGGCGGTAAGGCTTCCGTTGTTTCACGTCTGTTTTCTGTGACACCGCGGTATCACTGAGTTTCATATAGAAGTTACAAATGGTTTGGGCTTCTCCCAGTTGTGCAGTCTCTTTTTGTGCCTCTAGGCTTATTTCATTCTGTCTTCTGCAGTAATTCACCGAGGGAAGTGGAGACTATCGTTTTTTTATTCTCCCTTTTATTTATTTATTTAGTCTTTAATGTACACAATTTTATTATGGCACATAAGGCGGACTTAATGCCATATGGCATTCTCTACCAGATATCTTTTATAATATCTTCTGATTTATTTCGTTGCCGGGAACCAAGACAGTTATTCATGTCCCTGGAATGCGCCTGACTTCAGTGTATCTGTGTTTCATGGTTGTATTTACTGCAGATCGCCATACAGAAGTTGCGGCAGTTTTGGGAGGTTGTGGCGGGCTTGTCCCAATAAAAAAAAAGTAACAGAGTTAGAATTATGTCATTTTAAAGCATATGACAATAGACATTGTCCTAATTTTTCATTTGTAGTCTATAAGCGTCATATAATTACCTGTGAATCATCATATTGACAAATGCAGTTGTCACATTGAATATATACTAGTTTTCCGCCTGCGGTTTAGCCCGTTTGGCCAAAATATATTTAACCCGTCGAGCGTCCGCGTTCCTTATGATCCACACACGTGTCACACGTGACATTTGGAGAAAGAAAGAAAGAAAGAAAAAGCATTTATTGCCATTGGCACACGAAAACAAGGATCATTACAATAGAAATAAAAAATACAGTGAAAATAAAAACAAAACATTAATAATAGATTTTATAAAAGAGAAAGCAGCATGGAGCATTTTTTCTTATGATCCACCGGGTGCTCATAAGGACGCTCTAGGGGTTAAACCTTCCTTAGATGGAAGCTGGAATCTGCCCTATCTAAGCCATCCTCAAGAATCATACTAAACATAATATTACAAAAAATTGTCCAGAGTCTATCGCGTAAAATTATAATAAAAATATTGGAGGCGTAGGGAAAAAAGAAATGTCATCATGTGGCGGGAAAATTTAAGCTGTGGATCAGGAAATTGAATACAAGATGGCGGAAACCCGGGACTCCGGGAGTGGTTGAAATGACTTATTTAAATATTTTGTATTTAGCGAATTTATATCAGTTTTGGAAATTCTATCTGCTTAATTCTGTATTGTTATTTTCTTTCAAATGTAGTTTTGGATAGTCCTGATTTTGTAATTTAATTTCTTTCGATGTTAACTTATGTAGGTATATTATAGCTATAAATATAATCTTTTTAATTTTCTTCGCCTCCTGAGTTTATTAAATCTAATGTGGATTTAAACTAATGAGTTTCTTATATCAGAAGTATGATGTTCATGAAGATTTCTAGATTTCTAACGATTATACTTTTTGTTTATTTTAGGTACGGAAACAATGCAAGACTCGGAGACAGCAAAATGGCAATTCGTTCAGGTGATCGGACAGAAGCTGAACAAGTATACCATGTGGGTGAAATACAAGAAGTCTTTGAAGGAACGCGGCGTCTCCGTACCTATTCCCGTCAGGTAAATTATGTTAACTACCCCCTTTGGCCCGCGTGCGTAGTAAATGTGAGTTTAATTGAGTGAGTAAATGAGTGAAGATGAGTTTGAGCCGGCTTCAAAAATGTATAATGTTGACGTTTAAACGAACTGTTTTGTTGCCCACTTACAAAAAATCATAAAAAAGAGTAAGTAAATATGAGATCAAGTTAGTGAATGTGAATGAGAATGAGTTCAAATGAGTGAGTATGAGTTCAATTGACTGCTCGGTGAGTTTTTGTCTCAAAAAAGTGCGCATATTATATTGGAATTTCTTCCTACATTAAAAACCTGTTCCTCTATTAAAAAATGTCTTATATCCCCAGGTACGAGATGAAAGGCTACAACTCCCTGCTCGGCTCTCACTACGACCACTACTACATTGATTATGTAGACTATGATGTCGAGGACATTGACCCCAACGTGTTCATTGTCGACCCCGGTAAGTATATAAATTAGATGTCTTTGTATTTTATTTTAATACTAGTTACTTATACTATTTCTGCGCGGTTTCACACGCTCTGCTCAGCTTCTATTGATATGTAATAGAGCCTCTAGTATGGCTTGAAACTAGTCGAGTTCCTCGTCAAATAATTACGTGAGTAAGCCGAAAACATATAATATATTTAATATGTCTCACGAAAGTTATAACACAAATAACACAATTATTCCTTACCCAGCGATGAAATGCTCCTCGTTCCCCGGTCCGGGCGCCCGCCACTACGCGACATTCAACCCAATGATGGAGTTTGTACACCCAGCTAAGGATGAACATGTCATCAGCGAGTTTGACAGGTAAATACTACAACATTTTTTTATGGGATTACCTGGTAAACGAGCAGACGGATCACCTGATGGCAAGCAATCGGCGTCGCCCATGGACACCTAGAACACCAGAGGCGTTACAAGTGCGTTACAGGCCCTTATTAGAAGATTAACGATTGTTATTACGGGGATTAGAAGTTTGACGATTGTTGGGGATTCAGGGATTGGGGAGATTGGAGAAGGGAGGGGGCCTCCGGTAACCTCACTCACACGACGAAACACAACGCAAGTGTTGTTTCACGTCGGTTTTCTGTGAGGCTGTGGTATCGCGCCGGTCGAACCGGCCCATTCGTGCGGAACCGTGGCGCTCCCACACTGAAAACAACATATTTAATTACCTACTTTTGGGTGAAATGATGTTCGAATTGAATATCAGTAAAAAATGTAAACTAATCCAGCGATTTTAGATTTATGTTTCGGCCGTTATACAGCTTTTGATATACTTTATATAGTCATCATCTTGTTCAATAACCGTTTTTTTATGATGTCATTGTGCACTTTTTTATGTCGCATATCAAACCTAGGGAATTAACAGTCATTTACGACATTTCCGAAACCGTGTCCATGGGTGATCTCTTGAAGATATACGATCTTCAAGAGATCACCCATGGATACTTAGAACACCAGAGGCGGTACAAGTGCGTTACTGGCCTTTTGAGGATTAGGAATTTCAGGATTGTTCGGGATTCAGGAATTGGGCCACGTCGGTTTTCTGTAACTGATATTTTTTTATTATGTTTATAGGTTCAAGACGAAGCACGGCAAACAGTATGCCAGCGATGTGGAACATGAGAAGAGGCTGAATATCTTCAGACAGAATCTCAGGTAAATACTTATAGTTATTTTTATTATCTGGCAAATGATATGCCAGGGATAGATCTAGAAAAACACCACCAATAGAGTTAATAAGATGCAATCTGATTAGTCAAATTGAATCCTTGTTTAGTAATGTCTAACTAAACGATAGTTTATTGTGCAAACAATAAACTATTTTTGCGCATTCTTGCGATGATTCGCGCATTTTTGCGATGTTTTACGCAAAATTGCGTTGATTTGCTCAAACTTGCAATGACTTGCGCATACTTGCGATGATTTGCGCTAACTTACGATAATATGCGCAAACTTGCGATGATTTGCGCAAACTGCGATGATTTGCGCATTCTTGCGATATTTTGCTCAAACTTGCGATGTTTTGCGCAAACTTGCGATGATTTGCGCATTCTTGCGATATTTTGCTCAAACTTGCGATGATTTGCGCGAACTTGCAATGATTTGCGTAAACTTGCTATGATTTGCGCAAACTTGCGATGATTTGCGCATTCTTGCGATATTTTGCGCAAACTTGCGATGATTTGAGCATTCTTGTGATGTTTTGCGCAAACTTGCGATGTTTTGCGCAAACTTGCGATGATTCGCGCAAACTTGCGATGTTTTGCGCAAACTTGCACTACAAATGCGCATTGGAGCTAAAATAGGACGGTGTTACACAGTATCAATATTTTATTGTTATTGAAACATTCCAACAGCCCTTAATAAATATTGTTGTTGCTAGATTAATATTCTCCCACAACCGCGCCCGTCGTTCGTTCACGATGGCAGTGAACCACCTCGCGGACCGCACCGACACTGAACTAGCCGCGCTACGGGGCAGGAGATACTCTGGACCTAATCATGGTGAGATGCATTATATTTATTGACTACCTACTTCCGCGCGGTTTCACACGTTCTGCTCAGCTCCTATTGGTCGTACCTTGATGTTTTATAGCCTATAACCATCCTCGATAAATGCGCTATCCAACACAAAAAGAATTATTCAAATCAGACTTGTAGTTACGGAGATTAGCGTGTTCAAAAAAACAAACTGCTCCGCTTTATACATATAATACTATAAGATATAATGAAGAACTTATCCAGATAAGTAAAAGCAAATTGTGGTGATTTCTGAGTCGAAAAAATGGTATTAGGAGTTATAAGGTAAAACAATATCTTTGTAATAAATATTACATGGGGTCAAAATCGAAACCTGCTAAGAGGCTTAATGCTGATGAAACAAATACATTAAAAACTACTAGACTAACCTCCTTGATCTTAAACGTTATTGTTCTTAAAATACATACAAAGTAAGTAGCTGTATAGACTACCGATTAATCGGCAACTAATCGGTAACCACAAAGTTGACCCGCGAATGATCGGTTTAATCGACTGGTTAACATATAATTCACTATTTGCTTATTTTAATATATATGCAATATGTATGTCTGTCTGTATGTCTGTAGGTCTGCTATTCCCGTACAGCCAGTCTCTAGTGGAGGAGGAGTCGGACAAGTTGCCCAGTGAACACGACTGGAGACTGTTCGGAGCTGTCACACCCGTCAAAGGTAAATATATATAAAAAAAGATTTAATGGAATACACAAAGCTAAGTAAAGCCTGACGTACTGCGTATCGTCGGGTATACAGGGTGGAATTTTGTAATGCCACCTGAATAAGTCTGTACGTCATCTGTACTTAATACAGATGAAAATTTGACTCAAAGAAAATATTTCCTTTATTTTTGAAAAGAAAGCAAACTGCATTCATAGTTTTTAATAATTCGTTTACCGCACACGATAATCGAACCGACTAAAATCTTAAAAAGTGGCACCTTGTACTTTTATTTCATCGATTGTAGGTCAATAAGGAACTGTTTAACTTTTAAACTTTAATAAGGTCTCTTTAACAAACTTCCATACATTTATTGAAAGGAAAACGATGAAATCAATGTCTAAAGTACTTAGATACTTAGTGGGTCTGTCAGGATCGCTTGTGTAACGAGAGGGCTCTACTCTTTTATTTAAGAAATAACTGCATATTTACTAATGTGTAGTCTTTGAAGTAGTATAAAGAATGAGCATTAATCAGTACGCTTACTCAATGTGGCGATTCCAAACTTACCTATAATATGAAAATTATAATAACCTGGATTTTCGCACGATGTCTTCCTTCACCGTATCATCATCATCATCACCAACAGCCTATAAATGCCCACTGCTGACCAAAGGCCTCTACTCACACGGAGAAGGTTTGAGCATTAATCAACACGCTTGCTCAATGCGGGTTGGCGATTTCAAACTTATAATTAGAAATTGTAAGCCCAGGTTTCCTCACGATGTTTTCCTTCACCGTTTGTTAGTGGTGTCTGAATAATCTTATAAAAGTACTTACAACTCGGAAAAAGTCACATTGGTACTTGCCGTTGGTAGGCTCGAACCCGCAACTAAGGTTATTATATAAATTAAAGTTAATTTGTTTCCCCAGACCAGTCAGTATGTGGTTCGTGTTGGTCGTTTGGTACTACGGGTGCAGTGGAGGGCGCCTTGTTCCTCAGTAACGGAGGGAAACTCGAGAGACTCTCGCAACAGGCACTCGTCGACTGCTCATGGGGGTAAGCAGAGTACTGTTTCATATCTTTAGTGGAGTACAAATGTGTGTGAATCTTGTCGTGTGTTATCGTCTTGTTAGGCGTGAATTGCGATAAATAATAGCGATTGTTCAGTAAGTTGTGTTGATATTAAAATACAGACATAGGCTACAAGCCATTTTTGATCGATATTAAGTCAGTGAATGAAAATAAATTCATATTGAAGATGTTATTATTTTTTTATGTGATAAGCCGGTAAACGAGCAGACGTATCACCTGATGGTAAGCAATCGGCGTCGCCCATGGACACCAGAGACAAGTGCGTTACCGGCCTTTAGGATTCCGGGGGATTCGAAACACAACGCAAGCGTTGTTTCACGTCGGTTTTCTGCTCGGCCGTGGTATCACTCTCGTCGAGCCGGCCCATTCGTGCCGAAGCATGGCTCTTCCACACTTACTTTCTACAATTCACATACCTATAACATAACCCACTGACTTATCTCGTCCTGTAATAAGTATATCTTTGATAATATATTTTTATTGAATTAACATTCTTTGCATTTCAGTTTCGGTAACAACGGCTGCGACGGTGGCGAGGACTTCAGGGCGTATCAGTGGATCATGAAACATGGCCTTCCTACTGAGGAGTCCTATGGAGACTATCTTGGACAGGTGGGTTTTAGTCACATACATATCATGACGCCTGTCTCTTATATGCAGAGACAACGCATCGCCAAAGGCCCAGACTACTTATACTTATTTGCCCGTCTCTGGAATGGAACCCGCGACGTCTTGTTCGGCAGTTAAATATCTAACGTTTGTTTCGGCATTTCTTCTCGGAGTAGTCAGTTAGGAAATGTCGGCCTCATCGTTCGCTTGATAAAATTGACGTGTAAAAGTGCTGCCTTGTAGCCTATTTGCAGAAATAAATTCACTTGTTTCACTTGTTTCACTTGTTTCAATCGTTTCACTTGTTTCACTGACGGGTTGTCGTGTTGAGTCTTTTTATTAACGTATCTTTTTGTGTACTTACGTCCAGATTAAAATAAATAATTGTTACAGGATGGTTACTGCCACTTGGACAACGTCAGCATCGCGACCAAGATCAAGGGATGGGTCAACGTCACCAGCAATGATGAGAAGGCACTCAGGGTAAGTCTAAAGCCGATTAAATTTACTTATAACGTAACATCACGCCTTTTATCGCCGAAGCGGTAAGCATAGGTGCACATTACGGCATTTAATGCCACTTTACAATGTAACACCCACCTTTCACTATTTATATTATGAGTCCCATGTAATAGGGGTGAGCCTATTGCCATATACCGGGCACAATTCCAGACTCCGTGTTTCTACTGAGATTTTTTTTTAAACTCACGATTATTTTGCCCGCCCCGAAATCGAACCGACCACTCGGCCAACGAGGCAGTTAAATTACTATCCCACAATCTGTCGCGGAGAACCTAACGGGTTGCCGGGGCTCCGGCTCGAAGGGCAGGAGTAGGAACGGGGTGGTATTTAGTCAGTAAGAGTCTGACACTCCCTCCCGCCTCACCCAGGCGGGAGCAGTGATTCGATGATTTTCCCCCCTTAAAGAAAAAATCCCACAATCTAATAAACGTATAGATCAACAATGTAAATATGAATCGATTGTCTTTTTTCCAGCTGGCAATCTTCAAGCACGGGCCGATCTCCGTGGCCATTGACGCGGCGCATAAATCTTTCAGTTTCTACTCTAACGGCGTCTACTATGAGCCAGCTTGGTAAGTTATATTTATTATCTTATATTTAGTAGCAATCAATTAGCTGGATGTTTTACTTAAACTGTCAAACACCGAGCGGACACCGGTGACAGCAACCTATTGTTCTTTAATTGTGTCTATAATGACGGTACTCAAAGAGTTAATGACCACGACACGATACGAATATAACGAGTACGTCAATGAAAAACGATGGCCTCGTATGTTGACTGCACGGTTGGTGCGGTGGCTGGGTAACCGGCTGCCGCGCGACGTGTAGCGGGTTTGATTCCCTTACGTAGCAACTCTTTGTGTGATCCACAGATTGTTGTTCCGGGTCTGGGTGTCATGTGTGTGTGAACTTGTATGTTTGTAAACGCACACACGATACAGGATAATATCCTAGTGTGGGGCAACATTTTTTTGTTTGTAAACGCACTCATGCAACCACCATTAAGAATTTTCTCCGTGACCTCTTTTATGTATACAAAAGTAATTAGTTAATTAATATTATGAATTCCTCTATCTAATTTATCATCAACATCTTTAACATATTTCTTCTTTGCAGCCACAATAAAATCGACGAGCTAGACCACGCGGTCCTCGCCGTAGGCTACGGCATCCTCAAAGGTCAGAAATACTGGTTAGTGAAAAACTCCTGGTCTAACATGTGGGGTAACGATGGCTATGTCCTCATGTCCACTAAAGACAACAACTGCGGGGTACAGTCCGCCCCCACTTACGTTTTAATATAGGGTAAGACTAGGAGGCGGTTTTACCCTACCTTGTATTTATTACCCTATTAAAAATTGTTTGAGTAAGACTTTGGAAATGGCCTTACCCTATGAGACTGTACAGTTGAGGAGATTTAGGGTAAGATTGTTTAAATATTCTTACGCTTTCAAGGTAAAGTGTTCTTATTGCTGAAATTAATAATTGATCTTAGAGCTGATTTTTCCAATGTCAAATTTTAACAGTGTTTTCATACAACAACGCATAAGCAAGGTATTAATTTTATTCCACGAATAAAAGTTATCTGTTGATTGAAAAAGCACTGGATCACTAGGTTTCAGAAATTCAATTGAAGTCGGCAGTCGCAAAGATTTTGCGTTGAAGTTTATTGCTATTTCGACTGTAATATTCGGTAGGGTAAGACTGACTTTACTAGGGTAAGTTGATTATACTTCAGTTTAAACCGTTAATTGTCAATTGCAATGTTACTAAAGATAAAGTTGTTACTAGTAATAATAAATATAAAATATTCCGTAAAACATTGAATTGAAAGTTCTAATAGCAATTTTATAATACGAAGAAATGTATGAAGAAGGCGTTAAGAAGTCTAATATATTTTTATAATATGAAAAATAGTAATTAAATAATTAATTCTAATAATAATGCTTCATGAATCTATGGCGTCTCTTATTAATTAATAAGAGTTTGTCCTGAATTAAAAATATTTAATTACAGTTTTACTATATTTTCTCATAATTCGTTTATACTTTATTCTTAAATATATTCATGTTAACTGTTATTGAATTTAATGTTCGTTGCCGGTCAAGGACTCTATATATAACTCTAATATATATTGATTTGTATGTATATAAAGAACTTGGAAGCATAGAAACGGAGTCAACAGCGATTTTCTTTGTCAATTTTTGATGAATATTTTCTTATACAAGTATTTTATTAATTGGTAACGTATGTCGTATGAAAGAACATTTTGTAAAAGGAGTCATTAACAGCCTATAAATGCCCACTGCTGACCAAAGGCCTCTTCTCACACGGAGCAGTAATCACCACGCTTGCTCAATGCGGGTAGGCGATTACAATTTTATAACGATGTTTTCCTTCACCGTTTGTCAGTGGTGTCTAGATAATCTTAGAAAGAACATGTAACTCGGAAAAAGTCACATTGGTACTTGCTGTTGGTAGGTTTTGAATCCTCACCCTCATGCATGGGAAACAGGCGTCTTAAACCTCCGGGCCATCGCGACATTCTTCTAATACAAGTATTTTATTAATTGGTAATGTATGTCGTATGAAAATCAATTAAGTTACTTTTAACATGAGAGTATTTAGTTGTAAAACGAATATGTTTTATTAAAGTTATAAATTTCCATAAAAAGAAAAAGGAATGCTAGTGGCTCCGTTTCATTGCTTCCAAGTGTAGTAATATAGATAGATTCACCCCCTATTATATGGGACTCCTACTATAACAGGCGAATAGTAAATGTTACACCTGAATACATATCCAAATATCTGAAATATTTTCTACATGTTTTAATCATTTGCAAAGTTCAGAACCAAAATATTTCATTGTCAAAAATATGTTTTTTTATAGTTTAATTCTGTTAATAGATGTTTTATAACTAAATGCAATATTTTTAATATATACATGTATTTTTTCCGTAAATATGTAGGTACAAAATAATTTAATTGTTTTTTTTCTAATACAGATTAAATATTCGCTTTGAGTGTTGCCTTGTCTAAAATTCTATGTGATTTGTCTATGGTTTTAAGTAAAAAGGTATCTCTTTATTTTGTAAGATTTATAAGAATTTTGTAACAGGCTGTGTTTGGCTTCGCTCTCTGATTATAAGAAATACATTTTTTGTAATAAAATTATAATATTGTTGTTTTACTTTACTACTACCATTCCTCTTGCGTCTTCTACAGAAAATATATTGTTGTAGCGGTCTTTTTTTTAAAGGGGGGAAAATCATCGAGTGACTGCTCCCGCCTGGGTGAGGCGGGAGGGAGTGTCAGACTCTTACTGACTAAAAACCACCCCGTTCCTTCTCCTGCACTTCGAGCCGGAGCCCCGGTTACCCGTTAGGTTCTCCGCGACATTGTAGCGGTCTAGACACTATTCAGCCTATCCTAACCTAGACAAACAATTCATACATTTGAATATCTTCATTCATTGTGTGTGTACCTATCATTAGACACCATTGTGTCTGTTAATGAAACATAATGTATGCCATTACATATATTGTTTCATTAACCTTTTCGCAATAATGGATGTTTACAATGTCTAAAGTTAGTGTAAAACGATCGAATCAAGTTTAATAAAATATGTATACGGAATGTTGTGTGGATTTCGTTATTAAGATAATTGAATTTTAATAATCCAAAAGTTATAGAAAACTTTCCAAATAAAATTGAGTGTTAATACAACGCTAAACCTATGAAAACTTAAGCCGCGTAGGACTTACTAGTACCGCGGGTTGCCGGGACTCCGGCTCAAAGGGCAGGAGTAGGAACGGGGTAGTTTTTAGTTAGTAACAGTCTGATGCTCCCTCCCGCCTCACCCAGGCGGGAGAGTCATTCGATGATTTTCCCCCCTTAAAAAACAAGACAAAAATTAATATAGATACAGATAATTTGAAAGAATAAGAATAATAGTGATTTCTTCGATAAATAAAGTTTCATAAAGAATTTAAATCTACATAAATAAAAATGAATACCCGTTCGTTAGTCTAGTTACATTTCAACAACAGCTAAACAGATTTGGCTAATTTAGGTCTTGAAATGTTCTTGGAATTGGAAGTTCAGGGAAGATTTAAAAGGAGATACATTTTTTTTTAGGCGGAACGACGTTTGCCGGGTCACCTAGTCTATATAGCTCGTGACACGACACACACACACGAAGTTTAGCTGAGCACTGGCCTTTTTGCACCGTGTACATTATTCTGTTTTTTTTTAACAATTTTTCTTGTTTTTTCTGTACTGGTGCAAATAAACTGTTTTTCTTTCTTTCTGAATATATAAAAGGAAAGTCGTGTTAGTTACACTATTTATAACTTTATAACTCAATTACTGCTAAATGGATTTTGATGAAAATTGGAGGGGAGGTATCTTAGAACTAGGAGACGGACATAGGATTTTTATTCAATACTTGTTTTTTTTTTTACTTTTTACCGAAAATCACGAACGAGAACGGGAATAAACGGGATTGCGCGTACGAAGTCCCAGACAGAAGATAGAATTTAATAAAGATTTTTTTTAATAAAGAATATTGTGTTTTATTTCGTTTACAATTATTGTTACTAGAATAATCCATATCGCAGTATTCGTTCTGGCTGCCTACTAAATCTCCTCGCGTTTTTACGATGACCAACGGGCGAGACACACATGTTGCCTTCTTTGACAAGGTTACCTGGACAGTTGTCTTGGACTATTGTCTTTTGATACTGGAATAAAAGTAGAATTTATTAAATTAGTTAGGTTTAATTTGCAGTTATAGATATAGCTATATGTAGATCTATTTGTCGCTCTATAGGCTCACCCCCTATTACATGGGACTCATAACATAAATAGTGAAAAGTGGGTGTTACATTGTATAGAGAAGAACGAGCAAGAAACTCCATAGATTACTCTTTTTCAATCGGGTTTACAATACAATTCTCTAGTTACATAGTTTTGTTGGTTCGATGTGTGAGAACAATGCAACACCTAAATGCAGTCAAAGATATTGAAAAAGAAAATAATCTTGAGGACCATAAATCATACAGTCTGGAGCTGACCAGTCCCAATTGACGGCACCCGTTCACGAACATGACACGTACCCCAGCACCGCCCAACTCAACCATTTTGTAGGGAATCCAGCGATCCAATGCACGTGCCACCGCCAAAGAGATATGCATATCACAAATCATGTCGTATCGCCATTACTAAAGTTGTCATTCGTTTAGAAACTGCCAACATCTATCACAGTAGCTAAGTAGCTCTGAGCAGCGAGGTCCTCGCCAAAGCTTACAATTAATATCTTTCTTCAGCTAGTTTACTTACCGTCCAATAATTCCAAAACGGATATGAAGGTAGCACTACTTTTGGGCCCGGCTGGTCCGCCGCGTCTGGTGTCTGCTCACTGTTTCCATTACTTAAATGGTCCGGCACTTTGCCCGGAGCGAATGGGTCGTGCAGTTCACCAGACTTATCGATGTCAAAAGCCCTTAGCAATTTCAATTCGTCCTTTAAACTTAACCTGTCCAGAAGCGATTTGAATCTCTTTTTAGTTTTCTTCCATTTAAGTTTTTGTTTTATATCGTGTTCAAGATATTTTTTCAAATGTGGCAGTAGGTCTTGGGAGTTTAGTTCTCCCTTCATGAGCGAGATTAGATCGTTGTTGGTGTCACGTATCTTCGGCTCCATTCGTACAACGGACTTCGCGTCTCCAGCACTGGGTTTGGTAATGTGGTACCTGAACAGAGGCTTAAATACTGTGTTCAGCCGGGAGTCGTACTCGTGCTCCCCTGTATTGTACCCGTGCGGGATGATCCTCTTCACGAACATTGACTTGCCTACAGGTTTGAATCTGTGTCGGCTCTTTTTCGGCTTGACTTCTGCATAGTTCGGTATCTCGTAGCCTTGTAGGACTTGCTTCAACTTGGACAGCACTTCATTTTCTTCGTCGGCGTCCAGATGGTACACCTGGTACGACCATGCTATGTGTAGGTGCAGGATTATGATCACACATATTTTTATATGTATTTGTTGAAACATTGATAGCAGGTGACTCCCGTGTTTGGTTTCATTGATTGCAATAATGGAAGGTATTCAACCATGACATTGACTTAATGGAAATCTTATTATTGCTGGGATTTTTATGAGGTATGGAAAACAATGGTCATTTTAGTTATATCATTGTGTTAGACTCGTCATTATTATGCCTTAAAAGAGCAAACTTGTCAGTTAATTTTATGGAAACCTTACAATTTTGAAGTTGAAAGAATTACTAATAGCTGTTGCGTAG